TTTAAAATTAGGAATAACAGAGGATTTTAGCAGTCAGAACAACTAAAGCAGCAGTGTTAATAATAACAGAAACGCCAAAGAGTCACATCAAATAGAAATATATAAAAACATGTATTTTAATTGTGTAGCAGTCAGTTTATAATTTTGGCAGCACTGTTGAGCATTTTGAAAATGTATTTTCATGCCTCTGTGCAAGGCTTAGTCTTTCTATCTTTATAGCCACATGGTGTAAAGTAACTNCTCTGTGACAATGTTTAAACTTTAAACTGTCAGCCCCGGACGCGGAGATTCTGAAGATTTTTTTAATAAAAACAACGGCAATTCTCAAGTGGTGGCTCACACAAAAAATTAAATAGCTTACAAAAACAAAGACTATGGAGCACTTAAACAGACAGAGAAAGAACTGAAAGTCAAATTGAGGGAATCAAACCTTCACACAGAGAGCTTTTGGAAAATGCTTTTAAAGCCAAAAACCCCCAAAAGGTATGGGACACCATGAAAACCATGACAGGAATGTCATCCTCAGCTAAAGGTTTAGCTGAGGATGACATTCCTGTCATGGTTTTCATGGTGTCCCATACCTTTTGGGGGTTTTTGGCTTTAAAAGCATTTTCCAAAAGCTCTCTGTGTGAAGNGAGTACCTGTTTTTCCTGGCCAAGGACAGGTTCCTTGAACACAACACGAGCGTAACGAGTCTTCACATGGTTATGTCTCGTCTGAAAGGAGTGTAGACTAGACTTGAGTGCTTACGGAGAGCACCGGAACGCCGCTCCAGCCCTTCAAATATTGCAGTACACATAAGGAGCCGTACACATGCCGCAGTGTTTGCGTGGCTGTGTCTTTAGTTGTAAGCACAGTGGCGATCTGTTGTTATTAGCATCTGGTTAGCTAGCTATGCTAACGAATTTAAAGACAGCTCAGTGAGGTTAAGGCACACCTTGATATGATCATTATAATTATTAATGAGACATTAGAGACTAAATGAAAAACAGGTATAAAATACTATATGAAAGTAACAAAAAAGTTGTTAAAAATAACAAGAATAGAGTTTAAAAGGGGAGTGATTTGTAAAATATCCAAAAAGAAAAATCTGCTTACAGTTCTGTTTCAAATGGGTGTTGAAAGATGTACCCATAGATCTCCTCATGTTGTTCTCAAAGTGCACCAGATTGATGCTTTTAACTTCAATATTTAAAAAAAAATCTTCCCGGGGGAGCATGCCCCCGGACCCCCCTAGAGAAGGTTAGGTCCCCACTTGAATCATGTTCACATGGATACTAAGTACATTCGCACACATCTTGTGTCCATATCTTTCTATTTTGGTGGTCATGCCACACCGTGCACATGCATGCATGCATGCGCGAGTCATGGTAAGATATCTGGATTAAGAGGTTGCGTTTTCTTTGCACAGCATGAAAGAAAGGCCAAATGAATTGTCTGTGGTTTTAGTTTTTTTAAGCAGAGGTTGAGTTCAATAATTTGTAGGGACCTCGGAGGATGTTGTAAAAATTGAAAGGAAAAAGGTTCCCCACCCCTGCTGTAAATAATAATAAAAACCCTTGATTTATAACTTAAATATCTGTTTCCTATTGATCTGAGTATATTATAAAGAATAGCCAGTTAATTGAAGCATTATAGCACAGGCCTTTGTCAGATGGCATATTACGCTGTTTCTTTCTGCTTCGAATAGTTCTCTCTTTTTTCACCATACCTGTGTTTGCATCACTGGTTTATACACGGTCAAGAGTACACGTGAAAAGCATGAAAAGCCAAAATATATTGCTTGTTTTTTTACCACAGAGATTTATGATAATTGTTGGAATATAGACCTATATTTTAATAAAGAAAAACAGGGTATTTGAAAGCATCAGCAGCTGATACAAAAACATACATGCAGTGTGTTGTTGATATTTTCATAATATTAAATGATGGGTTTCTTTCCATCTAACCATCAACCCCTCTACAAATTCATGAACATATCCTGAGGGTAGCCCTATGTATGTGTTAGTGTATGATATTTGCATAATTATTATAATTGTAGTTCTCCAAAGAATGTTGTGGTGGCTGATTTAATGTGATGTGCACTTTGAACTGCATTTGCCATTATGAGTAAAACTCTCTTTTGTTGCAGGGCTCTCTGGTAAATACTTTGAAGGAAGTGCGCCCCACGGCCTTCATGGGGGTTCCACGTGTCTGGGAGAAGATGCAGGAGAAGATGAAGTCTGTGGGAGCCAAGTCCTCCACTGTGAGGAGGAAAATTGCTGTCTGGGCAAAAGATGTCGGCCTGCAGACTAATCTGACCAAGATGAATCAGTATGTACATGTTATGAAATTACAGTCTTTTATATGTTGTTATTGCTTCCCTCTACATGGTGATTATAAGAATATTGTAAAAGTACATTTTTGGGCATCTAGGCACACATGGAGAATAACAATTATGTGAGCCTGTTTAAGTAATTACACAACATGAGTCTACAAACAAACTGAGATTTGAGCTAAATGCTAACATGCTGATGCTCGCTAAATGCTAACATGCTGATGCTAAGCAGGTGTACTGAGCCAAGTACAGCTGTATTTTTGAACCAATAAAGGCGATGGATGGAAAAACATGCTGTCTGCGTGGCTCATAACACTCACATTTGTGTTTTTTGTCTCCTCAGTAGCGGAGCAGCTGGCCGCACACCGCTCAGCTATAAATTAGCCAAAAAGATAGTGTTCAAAAAGGTGCGTAAGGCTCTGGGCCTGGACCGCTGCACCAAGTGCTACACGGGGGCTGCTCCCATCACCAAAGACACCCTGGAGTTCTTCCTCAGCCTGGACATCCCTCTGTTCGAGCTGTACGGCATGAGTGAGAGCACCGGGCCCCACACCATCTCCATCCCGGAGGCCTTCAAGATCACCAGGTACGTTTTACTTCTAAATCTGACACAGAACCAATCCATAAGTTATGCCTGGTGGTGAAATGAAAATGTTGAATGTGTTGCAGCTGTGGTAAAGAGATCCCGGGGTGCAAGACGAAGCTGCACAACCCAGACGAGGAGGGGAACGGAGAGATCTGCTTCTGGGGCCGTCACGTCTTCATGGGATACCTCAACATGGCCGAGAAGACGGAGGAGGCTCTGGATGCAGAGGGCTGGCTGCACTCCGGTGACCTGGGCAAGCACGACGAGAACGGGTTCCTCTTCATCACTGGAAGAATCAAAGGTACATTCTATATTCCTTGTAGAGCTTCACAACACTCAAACAAGTGTATTGTTTACTACATATGGTGAGATCCTCCTTTACAGCCTCCAAACATACTATTGGATATCTGTTACAGGGTTCGTACGGTCATTGAAAACCTGGAAAAGTCATGGAAATTCAAAATGCAAATTCCAGGCCCTGGAAAAGTTATGGAAAACAATATTTTTCCCAAAGTTTTGGAAAAGTCATGGAAATGTAACTAAAGTTGCGTCAAACATAATTTACATTTTACCTAATCGCCGAAATAATCTGCGGTCGCGAGCTGTTATGTGCCATCATGACGCGCATGGTGTTATTTTTTAATATATGAAGCGAGAGCTGTGTGCTCGAGTCTTCCTGCCTGTCGGGCCGGCTGAACTCTGCTGCTCCGGGATGAGGGTCAGCTACCTTATCTACGGTGCGTTCGTTAACTGCGGAGTCACTGTGGCACAGACTGCACCGCTGGTGAACAGCTGTTAGAACAGGCCGTTCAGAGCGGCAGAGCGTGATGTGAACTGAAAAGTTTTTCTGTCGCAATATTCCAATTATTTAAGGAATCGTTGAGCTAGCTAGCTAGCATACATTTTCACTATCTGCTAACGTTAGCTTTAGCCTTCGTTTTCTAATAGTTTTTTTCATAGGCTATAAACAGAGGTGGTATAAATATAGATATTTACTAGAGTAAAAGTAAAAGTACTCAGATCTTGCACTTCAGTAAAAGTAGAAGTACCAGAGTGCAGGAATACTCTGTTACAGTAAAAGTCCTGCATTCAAAATGTTCCTCAAGTAAAAGTAGAAAAGTATTATCATCAAAATATAGTTAAAGTATAGCGACAGTAAAAGTAGTCATTGTGCAGATTGGTCCATTTCAGAATAATATATATGATATGTTTTATAATGATTGATCATGAAAGTGTTCTCAAAGCTGGTAAAGGTGCAGCTAGTTTGAATGACTTTGTATACTGCAGGGTAGCTTGTGAATTTACTCCAGGTGGAACTAAAGTCTGATTTAACACTTGATTATATTTCACATCATTCATCCACATCTGTAAAGTAACTAAAGGGATTAAATACATGTAGAAGAACAAAGTAGCAAAACATTGAAATACTTAAATAAAGTACAAGTATCTCAAAATTGTGCCCAAGTATAGTACTTGTTGAGTTTATGAACTTAGTTACTTTACACCATGTGGCTATAAAGATAGAAAGACTAAGCCTTGCACAGAGGCATGAAAATACATTTTCAAAATGCTCAACAGTGCTGCTTTTTCCACTGTTTTGTAGGCCGGGGCCGCTGGGGTGGGGTGCCTTATAGCCGAACTCTTTCCCTTTATTGTCTCCCTTAAAATCGTCAGTCTTTGTTGATTTCGTCGTCACAATTATTTTGGTCTTTGCGGTTTCTCTGTAGGGTTTACTCTTTATACATTTTTGTACATAAATTAACCAATCGTCAGTCTAA